TCATCTATCTATCTATCTATCTATCTATCTATCTATCTATCTATCTGTCTATCTGTCTATCTCCTGGATCAAACTAAGGAAATACGAATAAACTATGCACTTTATTAATAATATATTAATATTGGTTTGTTAATTTTAACAAGTATACCATGTTAATCTAAGATGTTAATAGGAAGGGAAACTGATGAGAGGGCAGTATATTGGAAGTCTTTTAGAACAATGTAAAACTATTCTAAAAGAAAGGCTATTTAAAAACATGAGAAAGTAGTTAATTTTTTAAAATTATGAAAAATATAATAATATAAACTGTTGGAGAATAGGTTATTTGACTTAGTAATATTTGTATAGTTAAGCTCTAGCATATTGCCTAGCACAAAACAAGCACTCAGTAAATGTTGAATGATAATATTATGCTTAGGTTATTTTGTGGAAGTTGAAAAAGAAGCTATTTAATTTCCTGAAATTTTATTAATTAAAAAGCTACAAAAACTCAATTTAATGCAACTTGAATTTATTTGAATACATTTTATACCCAATGAGTTGAAAATGTTTGCATAAACTTTGTTATTGCTTGTGAAGCCAATTTGAACTCTTCAGTGTTATAAATGATTCTGAAAAGACATCATATTTAGTTTTGATTATTAAACTATTTCATTCCATTAATAGGGCGACTGCTAAAATACTAAACATAGTCCTTTAACAAGTTGAATTAAATACATTAGAAAAAAAATCCCGAGTATATTAGCATCATTAGCCATTAGGGAAATGCCAATTAAAACCACAAAGAGATACCACTATGTACCTATTAGAATAGCAAAACAAAAACAATCAAACAAAAAACTTTGACAATACCAAACTGGCAAGGAAATGAAGCAACTGAAACCCTTACTCGTTGCTGATGGGAATGCAAAATTGTACAGCTACTTTGGATAACAGTTTGGTAGTGTCTTAAAAAGTTAATCATATTTAGTATATAACCCAGAAATCCCACCTGTAGGTATTTGCTCAAGAAAAATGGGACTGTGTTACCTCAGAAACTAGTACCTGAATGTTTATAGCAGCTCTATTCTAATTGTCAAAACTCATTGATTCCATTTATATGAAATTTTTGAAAATATAAACCCATAGTGATGAAGAACAGATCACTGGTTCAGAAGTTATGAGTGGGGAGAGGGTGGGCTATAGAGATAGCACGAGGGAGTTTTTTGGTGTGATGTAACTATTCTGTATCCTGAGTATGGTGGTGGTTACACAAGTTTATACATGTGTTGAAATTCATAGAACTGTATAATCCCTCTTCCCCCAAAAGTCAATTTTACTGTATGTTAATTTAAAAAAGTAAAACCAAAGACGTATATATGTGTCTGCTTTTTAAGGATTTGGTCTGACTATTGTCTAAATAATATTATGTTAGTACTTTCTGATGTTTTTCCTGTTAGATCTTTTTTAACTTTTAGGATTTACATGCAGAGTGACTGATAATGCCAAAAATCTTTTACATTAAAAGAATTAGTACTATAATCACTTTGTACAAAGAATTTGAGTGATCACCCTGTACAACTTCACATTTTTGAATAGATAATAATTGTCATTTATTGAAATAATATTGTCCAGAGGTCACCTTGCTAAACATTTTTAACTATACTTTGCTCATAATTATGGTTAGATATTATTTTCCCTATCTTACACATGAGAAAGCTGAAGCATAGAGGTATTAGATGTCTTGCCTGGGATCACACAAGAATGCGATAGAGCTGGAATTTCAACTATTTCTGTTAACTCAGAATTCTCTCTTTCTCTCTTTTAAAAAATAATACATTTTATTGTAAAATAAAGTACATATTTAGAAAACCACACAAGACAAATGTATTTAATGTATTATAAAGTGAATACAATTATAACTACCATCTAGGTCAAGAAGCAGAACTTTGCCAGCTGCCCCAACAGCTTTCCATGTACTCATCCCAATCATAACTGCCTTTTAATCTGTAAGTCCCCCCTTCTCATCTCGTTCTTTTCCCTATAGTTTAGCTATTGAGCCCTGGACTATTTGACTTGTAGAGCTTCCTACAATTTGGATTCTGCTGATTGCATACTAATGGTGTAATTCAGTGTGTCACTCTATTCTCTGTGTGTCCTGCAGATTTTCCTGAGGATCCAGAGGCTTGATCAGAATCAAGTGTGATTTCTTTGTCAGGACCGTATGTAGATTGTATTGCGTGGAGACACTTGATATCTGCATTGAGGTGTTTGTGTGTGTGTGTGTGTGTGTGTGTGTGTGTGTGTGTGTGTGTGATATTAAGAATTATCGATATTTAATGCCTAGAACCAATAATTCATTGGGGGTTGCAAAGTAGTGATATTCTAAAATTTTTTCTTTTATTTATGACTTAGTATACTTTCATAGAATACTCTCCTCACCTGCTATTTTGTTATCGAGTAGCCTTTGATTTAAGGGCTCTATAGAATAGAATTTGCGGAGGGAGTGAGTGATTCCTATGTAGAGGAATGCTTTCTCTTATGTGATCAGATTTCCCAACAAATACTATTAATTAATCTTACGTTTGCTGAAAACCTGCCTCTCTGCAAGGCTGCAATGCTACCATGGGTGTCAGGGACATCTCTGCTCTCACTGACAAACAAGGAGTCAAATATATTTTTGAGATCTCAGTTTGGAACTCAGAATATTACTACCTTCCTCCACCCCCACACATGGGCGCGCGCGCACACACACACACACACACACACACACTTTCCTGTATTTATAAATGGAAGCTAGATATAGTTGATGAATTACTATTTAAATGTGGGCTGGTCTGGGAACAGAATTACCAGTTTTAGCATTGCTTTTGTATAAAAGGAAAGTGCATTCTGAATTCTGAATAGGTTTTGGAATCACCTGTTCATTCATGGTAGCCTGCCTATTTTTACATATGAGATCCTCATTGCTTGTCAGATGCCAACCATGAAATATTCAGCACATTTACTAGCTTGTAGCCATCAGGGATTATATATCTGAGATTCAGGTTAGGCTATGTACTGCAGATAATTTACATTTTTTGTGTAATTGGGACTGAATGGTACTATTATTGATATTTTATTAATGAGTGATTGAAAATTAACTTTTAATCTAGATGGTAACTTGGTAGATTGGAAAAAACTAGGGTTTTGGAGTCAGATCTGAGTTCAAATTCCAACTCCACCATTTATTAACTGAATTTGTTTCCTCAACTGTAACATGGAGATGATAATTACAGGATGGTTATGAGATTTTAAATGATTTAATAGTAGCCCATGTAAAGTGCTTAGTTAAGGCATACCATTAGATCCTTAATTCCTTGCAGTTAGTTCTTTACCAATTTGACATGCATAATAGTTATCATTTTACTGAGTTACAGCATAGAATTATGTTTTAAAAGGCTCATAGTAAATAGGTATGATAATATATTTTAATATCTCTTTGGCTATATTAATTGAGGATGGCTTGTTTTATTTTTTCCCATTTTTCCAGTGCATATAAAAACATTTATTAAGTCCTATATATCAGTGGAAGTAAAAACAATGAATAAAATAATGTGCTATTTATTTTTCAAATTATTTTATATAGTAATGTTTGCTTTGGCAGGAAGTCTTACTTTATGGGGTTGTTGGTTAAATTTTTATTTCCTATTATGAAATAATAAACATTTTAAAAAAATACGTTTTTATTGATTTTAGAGAGAGTGAGAGGGAGAGGGAGAGAGGGAAACATCGATGACATCCATTGGCTGCCTCGTACATGCCCCCTACTGGTGATTGAGCTCACAACCCAGGATATGCTCTGACCCTGGAATTGAATCTGCCACCTCATGGTGCAGGAGACAAAGCTCAGCCAACCAAGCCACACCAGCCAGGGCAAAATAGAAAAGTTTTAAATTGTATACTTCTGAAATTCAAATATAGCTTATCAATGGCCAATACTGAGCTACAAGGTTATTTCAAATGAAAGTGAAGTAGAAACCTTAAAATGTAAATTAATTTGATAACTCTTCTTTTATGATGGTATAAATGTAAAAATTTAACTAGTGTAATATGTTTATAGTCCATTTTCAGGTTAACAAGCTAAGCACAATTAAAAAATAATATTCCTGGCCTTGAACACTGAAAATGGTTTGTGAGAAAAATTTATCTTAGTTACAAATGCTTCAGTTTAATAATACTATTTGGCTAGGCCATAATAAATATGAGAGGCCTAGATAAAATTTCTTGATGGGTATTATACTTAGACTATGGAGAGGTAGCAAGACAAAAAATAGGAGATAGGTCCACTAATCAAATGAGATTATACATATATAATGTAGCAAAATATTCCAGCAAGGATTAATGGAGTACACAGAATGATTATATCAGTTCAGGAAGGAAGGGAGGGGCTGGATTTTGAGAAAGTTGACTGATGTGCATTGATTGACAAAGAGGATAAGGGAGAAAAAGTCTCTGTTCTAAAAAGAAGGAATGGTGTGTTACAGGGTGACAGCTGAGAATGATAAAGTTGTTCTGTGGAAAGCAAGCAAATTAAATTGACTTGAATGGAAGTTTGTGTAGAAGATAGTCAGAAATTAGGGTGCACAGCTAATCTGAGTGTGGGGATGTAGAAAAATTTTAACATTAATTTGAAAGGAGAGACCTTTCAGATTGCTCTATATTTTAAAAAGTAGACAAAATGAAAGAATTTCATGTTCACAAAGCAAGTTTTATAGGTGTCGACTTATTTTAAGGTGAACTATGAAACAGATTAAGATACTGAATGTTACTGCATTTAACTGTAATTTGCAAAATGAAAGTCCATTCATTCCTTATTGAGATATGAAAAGCACTGCTTGCAAAAAAATTGAATGTACAAACATTTTACATGTCATGATTGGCTACATAAGGAAAGAAAAAAGAGAGATTAAAAAAAACTATATATAATAAGGCTAACATTTGAGTAGGGCTGAATTTTGTCTATTTTTCTTTTATTCTAGATCACAGCTTTTGCTAAGAGAGCTCTCTTGACACAAGACAACATGCTCTGTTGCCCTTATTGATTAATTGAACAAATTCAGGTTAGTACATTTTATGCACAGCACTTTCCTATGCCATGTATATGTTAATACTTTGAGAAATGAATAATTTTGTGTTTGAAGCTACATATGTATGTACCATTGAAGTAGAAAGGCCAAGTGGATCGAAACCCTATTGAATTGTGTATTAGTTACCATTTTCTGACTACCTACTATGTGAGATGTGCGGTGCATATAATGAAAAACGTTTTACTTACTAAGTAATAGTTTTGTACTTTAAAGTAAGGGGCTGGATGAAACAAGTTGTGGGTGAATATGGTACATTGTACTTTTGGTGTTGTGTGGCGTATTTGGTGCTGAAAATAACTCATCTTAAAAAATAAAAAAAATTCTTTTTGATGTTTAGAGAGGGAGGAAGGGAGAGTGAAAGAGAGAGAAAAACATCAATCGGCTGCCTCTCATACACATCCCCAGCAGGGATGGAACCCACAACCTGGGTATGTGCCCGGATTGGGAATCGAACCAGTGACCTTTCAGGGCACGGGATGATGCTCAACCAACTGAGCCACACTGGCCAGGGCTCATCTTAAAATTTTTGACAGTAGCTGACTTTTAAAGGTTTCATTCCTGTATAGATTTCAGTCATACATTAAAATTTTTATTTATTTGTATTTAGTGTTCAGTCTGAGTTTTGACAAATGTATAATCATCACCATAATCTTCTAAATTCACTTATGTTAATCTCAATCCCCAGCAACCACTGATGTGTTATTTTTTGTTCCTATACTTTATCTTTTCCAATATGTCATTTAAATGGAATCATTTAGTATGTAGCTTTTAAAATATGGCTTCTTTCACTTAGCATAATGAATTTGGATTCATCCATGTTGTGCATACTAGTAATTCTTTATTTTATTTTATTACTGGGTAGTTTCTGTGTGGCTATACTACAGCTAGCTTTTCCATTCACCAGCTGATGGACATTTGGGGGAGTTTCTAGTTTTTGGTGATTATTGCAATCATACTTTTTTTATTGTAATAAAATATGCATAACATATAAAATTTACTATCTAACTTTCTGATTTCCCATATGAAGAATGAACATAAGAATATTTATCCAAGGGTTGTAATGAGGATTAAAAAGAATAAATTATATAAAAGGATGAAGCAGTAGAGGTAGGCTGTTAATAAATGTTTATCTTTGTCTTTATGCTTTTTTTAAATGACCACTGGAGACTTCACTTTTCTATTGCCTATTTCCCTAGTGAGTCTATATGGAAACAGAACTAGTGCCCAGTATTACCTTGGAGCCCATCAAGAAGCAAATTACTGCTGTGTTAACCTCTTAGAACTTTTCACAGTTTGAAAGAAAGTTAACCAGGGCACTGTCAGCATAAGACTATAATAGAAAATTCTGGGCATGAAAGGCTCTGGAGGAGAGTTCTAACTTGGGGAAGGCAGAATTTTTTATAGGGCTTTAGCAGGAGAGATTAGGCATAGTTCAGCTAGTTTGGGGAGTAGTTTGTCAATGATGGCTGTTAGAGAATTGATTTTGTAGATTAGCAGCTGTTGTACAATTTGGATTTTATCAAGTAGGTTGGGGAAAAGCAGCTGTGGGGAGCAAGAACATAAGAAAGCCAATGTAAAAATTCTCAAGTTTTTAGTGTCTTCACAGTAGATTTTTCTATCATTGGCTCTTGCAGCCTTCTCCCAATCACCTCCTCCCTACTCACCCCTCCCTAGTAGAAAGACCCCTTAATTTTGGTCATGATTTTAGACTGCTTCTAGCTCTTAATCTCAGAAGGCAACATCTTTATGAAACTTCAAAGAACAAGGAATTAAGTATTTTGTAGCACTGGAAAGTTCTCTTAGTTTTTGCTCCCTGCTTTCTATTCACTGTTTTGGATCCTGTTGTGTAGGTACTTTGCAGTAGGGGAAATAGTAATGCAAGATAATGAAAAGCTTCAAAGTAGACATATCGCTGGAAGGGAGATTTGAATAGGATTTTGCAGCAGCTATTTTAGTTGATGATGTATCTTCAACTTAATTGCAATTGACTTTTTAAATTCTGCCTTATCCTTTTGTGATGATTCATGTAGAAATCACATGAGATCATTTTTGATAGCTGATTTGCAAACTTTGGTATGTGCAGCCAACCTTCCAAAGCCTTCCTGTGCTTTTTCAGGGAGCTCAGCTTGTGGCTGAATGGATAGTTATTCTCTTGTATTTTTTAAATGCATTACTGGTTTCTAGTACCTGAAATTAAATGGTCCTGCCCTGGCCAGTGTGGCTCAGTTGGTTGGGCATTGTCCTGTGTATCAAAGGATTGCTGGTTCAATTCCTGATCAGGGCACATGCCCGGGTTGCAAGCTCAATCACTGGTAGGGTGCATGCAGGAGGCAGCCTATGGATGTTTCCCTCTCACTTTTTTTTTTTTCATTCTTTATTATTAAGGTATTACAAATGTGTCCTCATCCCCCCCATTAACCCTCATCCTCCCCCCACGCCCCACTCATGCTCTCATCCCCCTGTTGTCTATGTCCATTGGTTTGGCTTATATGCATGCATACAAGTCCTTTGGTTGATTTCTTACCCTTACCTCCTCCCTCCCCTACTTTCCTTCTGGGGATTGATAGTCTGATCGCTGTTTCTCTGTCTTTGGATCTGTCCCTGTTTATCAGTCTATGTTGTTCTCTATAATCCACAAATGAGTGAGATCATGTGGTATTTATCTTTCTCTGACTGGCTTATTTCACTTAGCATAATGCTCTCCAGTTCCATCCATGCTGTTGCAAAAGGCAAGAGTTCCTTCTTTTTTACCGCAGCATAGTATTCCATTGTGTAGATGTACCACAGTTTTTTAATCCACTCATCTGCTGATGGGCACTTAGGCTGTTTCCAAATCATAGCTATGGTGAATTGTGCTGCTATGAACATAGGGGTGCATATATCCTTTCTGATTGGTGTTTCTGGTTTCTTGGGATATATTCCTAGAAGTGGGATCACTGGGTCAAATGGGAGTTCCATTTTTAGTTTTTTGAGAAAGCTCCATACTGTTCTCCACAGTGGCTGCACCAGTCTGCATTCCCACCAGCAGTGCAGAAGGGTTCCTTTTTCTCCACATCCTCTCCAACACTTGTTGTTTGTTGATTTGTTGATGATAGCCATTCTGACAGGTGTGAGATGATACTGCATTGTTGTTTTGATTTGCATCTCTCGTATAATTAGTGATTTTGAGCATGTTTTCATATGTCTTTCGGCCTTATGTATGTCCTCTTTCGAAAAGTGTCTATTTAGGTCCGTTGCCCATTTTTTGATTGGATTGTTTATCTTCCTTTTGTTAAGTTGCATGAGTTCCCTGTAAATTTTGGAGATTAAACCCTTATCGGTGATATCATTGGCAAATATGTTCTCCCATGCAGTGGGCTTTCTTGTTGTTTTGCTGATGGTTTCCTTTGCTGTGCAAAAGCTTTTTATTTTGATGTAGTTCCATTTGTTTATTTTCTCTTTAGTTTCCATTGCCCTAGGAGCAGTACCAGAGAAGAAATTCCTTCGGCATATGTTTGCGATTTCGCTGCCTGTGGATTCCTCTAGTATTTTTATGGTTTCCTGTCTTACGTTTAAGTCTGTTATCCATTTTGAGTTTATTTTTGTGAATGGTGTGAGTTGGTGGTCTAGTTTCATCTTTTTGCATGTATCTGTCCAATTTTCCCAACACCATTTATTGAAGAGTCCCTCTCACTTTGATGTCTTTTTCTCTCTCTCTCTCTCCCTCTCCCTTTCTCTCTCTTTAAATGGTCCTCTTTCATATGTAAATCTTATTATCTGCTAGTTTACCTCTTGCTTTGTGCTGGCTCCCTGTATTCCTCTTGTAATGCTTGCTTAGTTTTTAATTTAAATACAGTTAGGTAACATCCATGGAAAACATTGACCTATGCAGACATTAGGGAAATATGCATATTTGGCCACCATATTTATGATTATTGGGGCATTTCTTTGCAACTTTTCAGAATATAGAAAAAGAAGTGAGTTTCTTATTTTTTTCCAATCAAGCTCACCAATAGAATTTGTTGTTTTTCAAACTAGCTTGAATAGAAACAGCATATATGAAGAATAATATATCTGCTATTTTTACATGTGTATACTTATCATAGCTATGGAAAATATATTTGATTCACTTTGAGGCTCTCAAGGTAAATGGGTCATATAATCAATATTTTAGTATTGTCATGTATAATTAAATACTTTTCTATAAATTATGAGACAGTTATTTATGTTTCTTTGTTCTGCAAAGTATCACAAAATTTCAATAATATGGCTTCCTCTTTGTGATTTAGAGAAGGTTAGGGAAAAAATTTATTTATGACTAAATGGTAAGTCACTGGCGAGAATCTATTCTTTGTAATATATTACTTTGCTCCTTAAACCTCATTCAGCTCCACTTGTTTCATTTGCTAATATGAAGCAAATGTTACTATCCTAGCTTTATTTGATTTAATGGGAAATATCTTTTTAAGTATCTATATCTTTAAATCTTGGGAACCCTGAAAGGCTTCTTTATCCTTTTTTTAATTTCTTCTCAAGAAAATAGTGTCTTCATTTACTCTTGAAAAAACTTTTTAAATTCATTTGAGAAAGAGAGAGAGAGAGAGAGAGAGACAGACAGACAGACAGACATTGATTTGTTTTCCACTTAGTTATGGTTATGGATTCATTGGTTGATTCTTATATGTGCCCCAACTGGGGATTGAACCCACAACCTTGGTGTATTGGGTTGATGCTCTAATCAACTGAGCTACAGCCAGGGCTATCTTGATGTTTTTGTAGAAATTCCTGCTACCCACAGATAGAAATAAAACATGCAATGTAAAATAGCTGTTTAGGACATTTTTTAAATTAACAAATCATTTATTTTAAAAGTTCAATAGATATGTGATTTTTTTCACTTTCTCAGCTTTATAGA